GAATATGACAAAAGAATGTAGAAAACATGTAAGTGAAGGTGAAAAAACGAAGTGATCTTGTGAGGAACATGAACTTGTAGAGGAACATGAATATTGCAAAGAACACAAAATATGGAAGTTAGCATGAATATTGAGTATAAAAGTTGTAAAGAGAACATGTGATGAACATGAAAACATAGAAAATATGACTAGAATTTGTAGAGAAAGTAATGAGACTAAGAGAAAGATTACAGAAAAAATGGAGATACTTGTGAAAATATAAACTGAATGGGACTGTGAACATTTGAAGAACATGGAGTGAACATAGAAAACATGGACAAAATGTGAAGAACACAGCTGAATATAGAGAAAATATGCAAATACAGTATGATTATTGAAGGTTTTGATACGTTGGGGATGAGAAGGGTAAAGTAAATACTCTGATAAACAGATAGGCTGGAGAGGGACTTGATCGAATATATTTATGTCTGATGATCTAAGGCTGAGGAAATGGAGCTTGGTTAATGCCCCGATTAATTTTACTACGTTAGAAATACGGTGATCTTAAATCTCAGGGTGATTTAGTTGGAAAATAAAGAACTTGTACAAATGAACTAAGCTGGGGCACAAGAGTTGAAACTTGATAACTGAACTGGTTTTTATTTACTATGTCTGAAAATGTAGTTGGGTGATTTGGACTGAGAGTAATGATTTTACAAAAGTGAGCTTGGACAGAGGACAAGAGCTAGAGTTTTATAATTGTTTACTTCATATTTACTATGTCTGAAATACAGCGGGTAAAAATTTCAGGGAAATTGATGGTTTATTTACAAAGATATGAAAGAGAACTAAGGCGGGGACGAGAGCTGGAGCTCGATAACTGACTTGATTTTATTTACTAACTTTGAAGTATGTCTGCTTTAAATTTTAGGGAAATTGATGGGTTATTTACAAAGATACGAAGGAGAACTAAGGCGGGGACGAGAGCTGGAGCTCGATAACTGACTTGATTTTATTTACGGTGTCTGAAATACAGAGGGTAAAAATTTCAGGGAAATTGGACTGTTACTAACGATCTTGTATAAACGAACTAAGGTGGGGGACAAGCGCTGGAGCTCGATATCTGTTTTGATCTTATTTACGGAGCCTGAAATACAGAGGGTAAAAATTTCAGGGAAATTGGACTGTTACTAACGAAGATACGAGAGAGAGCTAAGGCTGGAGGACAAGCGCTGGAGCTTGGTAACTGTTTTGATCTTATTTATGGTGCCTGAAATACAGAGGGTAAAAATTTCAGGGAAATTGGACTGATACTAACGAAGATACGAGAGAGAGCTAAGGCGGAGGACAAGCGCTGGAGCTTGGTAACTAAATTACTGTATTGAACTACGTTTGAAATATGATTATTTTTAAATTTTAGAGGGATTGGAATGATAGTATTCATTATACGACAGGGGACTAAGGTGGGGGAACGTGAGCTAGAACATGCTTACTAACACGATTTATTTGTGTAAAACTGACTTGCTTAATGAAAAGGAGCAAACATACGATGTTGGAAAATAGCTGAACTGAACTGAATGAAAGGAGAGAGAGAGAGAGGAGGGACGGTTGAGATATTATTATGGAGAAGATAAGATAAGAGGTCTGGCTGGCCGGGCGTAAGGTAAATAAAGGTGACGCGAGAGATTGCGAGGTAAGGGGGGAGGGAGGGAGGGGGGTGTGATGTACGAAACACTGAAAACCCTGGCTCACACAGGTGATTTTCTAAATTTATATGAATAACTAAGGCTTACATAGACGATTTTGTAAGTTGAAAACATGTAAAATATGTCCGTAGAGTTCTCCTGGAAGCCCTAAAGAGCTACATACGTTACTTGAATTTGTCCCATAAGGCCTTAACAAACTTCTATGTCTCGGAAATTATTTTTCTCATAAGAACTTTAACAAACTTCTAAAATCTGAGACATAAAATTTACCTGAAAACCCTGGCTCACACAGACGATATTGGAACCTGAAAACATTGGCTCACACGCGTGATTTTGGAACCTGAAAACCATGGCTCACACGCGTGATTTTTTCCCCTTTGGACCTGAAAACCATGGCTCACACGCGTGATTTTTTCCCCCCAAAAAAAAATCACCTGTGCGTTGCCATCCCTACTACTCACCGTCACACTGTAGCACCAGCACCGTCACACTACACATTGTAGCACCAACACCGTCCACTGTAGCACCAACACCGTCACACTGTAGCACCAACACCGTCACACTGTAGCACCAACACCGTCACACTGTAGCACCAACACCGTCACACTACACACTGAAGCACCAGCACCGTCACACTACACACTGTAGCACCAACACCGTCATACTACACACTGTAGCACCAACAGTCACACTACACACTGTAGCACCAACACCGTCACACTGTAGCACCAACACCGTCACACTGTAGCACCAACACCGTCACACTGTAGCACCAACACCGTCACACTACACATTGAAGCACCAACACCGTCACACTACACACTGTAGCACCAACACCGTCACACTGTAAAACCAACACCGTCACACTGTAGCACCAACACCGTCACACTGTAGCACCAACACCGTCACACTGTAGCACCAACACCGTCACACTGTAGCACCAACACCGTCACACTACACACTGTAGCACCAACACCGTTACACTACACACTGTAGCACCAACACCGTTACACTACACACTGTAGCACCAACACCGTCACACTGTAGCACCAACACCGTCACACTACACACTGTAGCACCAACATCGTTACACTACACACTGTAGCACCAACAACGTCACACTACACACTGCAGCACCAACACCGTCACACTACACACTGCAGCACCAACACCGTCACACTGTAACACCAACACCGTCACACTGTAGCACCAACACCGTCACACTGTAACACCAACACCGTCACACTGTAGCACCAACACCGTCACACTGTAGCACCAACACCGTCACACTGTAGCACCAACACCGTCACACTACACACTGCAGCACCAACACCGTCACACTACACACTGCAGCACCAACACCGTCACACTGTAACACCAACACCGTCACACTGTAGCACCAACACCGTCACACTGTAGCACCAACACCGTCACACTGTAGCACCAACACCGTCACACTGTAGCACCAACACCGTCACACTGTAGCACCAACACCGTCACACTGTAGCACCAACACCGTCACACTACACACTGTAGCACCTACACCGTCACACTACACACTGTAGCACCTACACCGTCACACTGTAGCACCAACACCGTCACACTACACACTGTAGCACCAACACCGTCACACTACACACTGTAGCACCAACACCGTCACACTACACACTGTAGCACCAACATCGTTACACTACACACTGTAGCACCAACAACGTCACACTACACACTGCAGCACCAACACCGTCACACTACACACTGCAGCACCAACACCGTCACACTGTAACACCAACACCGTCACACTGTAGCACCAACACCGTCACACTGTAGCACCAACACCGTCACACTGTAGCACCAACACCGTCACACTGTAACACCAACACCGTCACACTGTAGCACCAACACCGTCACACTGTAGCACCAACACCGTCACACTGTAGCACCAACACCGTCACACTGTAGCACCAACACCGTCACACTGTAGCACCAACACCGTCACACTGTAGCACCAACACCGTCACACTGTAGCACCAACACCGTCACACTACACACTGTAGCACCTACACCGTCACACTGTAGCACCAACACCGTCACACTACACACTGTAGCACCAACACCGTCACACTACACACTGTAGCACCAACACCGTCACACTACACACTGTAGCACCAACACCGTCACACTACACACTGTAGCACCAACACCGTCACACTGTAGCACCAACACCGTCACACTGTAGCACCAACACCGTCACACTGTAGCACCAACACCGTCACACTGTAGCACCAACACCGTCACACCGTATCCCCAACACCGTCACACTGTAGCACCAACACCGTCACACTGTAGCACCAACACCGTCACACCGTAGCCCCAACACCGTCACACTGTAGCACCAACACCGTCACACTGTAGCACCAACACCGTCACACTGTAGCACCAACACCGTCACACTGTAGCACCAACACCGTCACACTGTAGCACCAACACCGTCACACTGTAGCACCAACACCGTCACACTGTAGCACCAACACCGTCACACTGTAGCACCAACACCGTCACACTACACACTGTAGGACCAACACCTTCACACTGTAGCACCAACACCGTCACACTACACACTGTAGGACCAACACCGTCACACTGTAGCACCAACACCGTCACACTGTAGCACCAACACCGTCACACTGTAGCACCAACACCGTCACACTGTAGCACCAACACCGTCACACTGTAGCACCAACACCGTCACACTGTAGGACCAACACCGTCACACTGTAGCACCAACACCGTCACACTACACACTGTAGGACCAACACCGTCACACTGTAGCACCAACACCGTCACACTACACACTGTAGGACCAACACCGTCACACTGTAGCACCAACACCGTCACACTGTAGCACCAACACCGTCACACTGTAGCACCAACACCGTCACACTGTAGCACCAACACCGTCACACTGTAGCACCACTAACACACATCAACAAACCACAAACACACATCAACAAACCACAAACACACTTCAACAAACCACAAACACACATCAACAAACCACAAACACACATCAACAAACCACAAACACACATCAACAAACCACAAACACACATCAACAAACCACAAACACACATCAACAAACCACAAACACACATCAACAAACCACAAACACACATCAACAAACCACAAACACACATCAACAAACCACAAACACACATCAACAAACCACAAACACACATCAACAAACCACAAACACACATCAACAAACCAGTAACTCAAGAAGCAGGAGAGAGAGAGAGAGCCGAGACACCACCTTACCTGTCGAGCGCGTAAAGCTGTCTGAAGGTTGGCGGGTCGAGGTAGGGGGCGCCACCCCTGATTGTCGTGTCTCTCCCTCGCTGCCTCTCCTCGTCCTCGTCCTTGTCTCTCCCTCGCTGCCTCTCCACGTCCTCGTCCTTGTCTTCTGCTTCCTCTCCCTCTTTCTCCTCCTCTCCGCTGCTTCCCCAGATGTCGTTTTCTGCGGGTATTTGTCTATTGTTGTTGTCTATGTGTCTGTTTCTTCCGTCTGTTTTCCTGTAGAGTTTCCTGCTTGTCTTGTGTCGTGTTGCTCGCTTGTTTGCGTGTTCGGGGCTTCGCCTGTCCGTTAGTCCTACATTTCGCTTGTTTTTCCGTCCATTACTGTCCTTTCTTGGTTGTCTGTCTCTTCGTCCGTCTACTGATCCGCTGGTTTCATATCCTATTTCATCTCTGTCATAATCGCGACGTTCATTTGGTTCGTAATTCCCTGCTTGATCGTCGCCTGCGTAAATCAGACCGCCTATATGGTGCTCATCTAATTGAAAATATCTCTGATTATCTGTTTGATCGTCCTGTCTCGCTCTGATGTGATTATTGCTGCCGTCTTGTGTTTCGAAGTCGCTTGTTCCATCTCTTCCCTCGAAGCCTCGTTCGTTAGCTTGATGGCCCTTCTCGTTAAAGGTTCGTCCAGCGTCTAATCCTGGTCGAAGACCTTTTCGCTGTCTTCCAAACACGTTTTCATTTCCTGTTCCGGTTTGACTGTTCTGTCTTTTGGCTCCGAATCCATTTTTAACTTGTCTGTTCTCTGTTCTTTCGCTTCCATTATCATCTTTGCCTTCTATATCATTCTCTCCGTGACCTGACTGGGCATTCTTCGTTCCTCTTTGATGCTTATCTATTCGTTCTATTGCTAGAGCATCCTTTCCTCTTGGTCTTAGATCCTTCTTTCCTACAGAACGGCCATTATGAGGTTCCTCAGATCGACCGTTCCGTTCTACAGCTATGCCATTATTCGTTTCTGTAGTCAGGTGATCATTCTGTTCTCTTGGCCGACCGCTCTTCTCTAACTCTGCTCGACCGCTCTTCTCTAACTCTGCTCGATCACTCTTCTCCACTCCTGCTCGGCCATTCTTAGCTTCCCTCTTATAATCAGTTTGTTGTTGTCTTCGATCCTCAAGTAGTGCGATAGCTCGACTACCATTGTTTAGTTTACCGGCTCGACCACCATCGTTGTTCAGTTTACCTGCTCGACCACCATCGTTGTTCAGTTTACCGGCTCGACCACCATCGTTGTTCAGTTTACCGGCTCGACCACCATCGTTGTTCAGTTTACCGGCTCGACCACCATCGTTGTTCAGTTTACCTGCTCGACGACCATCGTTGTTCAGTTTACCTGCTCGACCACCATTGTTCAGTTTACCTGCTCGACCACCATCGTATCGTGCTGGCCCATACTTAGCGTGCCGTCCAATGCCTCGCCTCTCAACCATTCCGTCACTCAGGGCCCTGGAGTGCCTCGGGTTCCACGCAGCATCCTCCTGAGGCCTCAAAGTGTCAATCTGCCCATCGCTGATGCGCCGCCACAGCATGTATTCCCCAGCCACAGCTGCTGCCGCTGCGAAGCCTTCGATCTCACCACCTTGCCCATCAGGATGGCTGGTTCTTTTTCCTCGGTGGGCTTCGAGTCCTCCATCCTCACTTCGATCGTCACCCCGAAGGTAGATGCCAAAGAAAGGTTCTTCGACTCCTACGGTATCGAAGTCCGCTCCACTTCTGGCGCCAATTTCGTTAGAGCCGTTGTCTCCTTCTGCACCAGTAACGGCTCCAACATATCCGTCAGCAAGACCATCAACATATCCGTCAGCAGCACCAACATATGCGTCAGCAGGAGCTCCAACATATCCATCAGCAGGAGCTCCAACATATCCGCCAGCAGCACCAACATATCCGTCAGCAAGACAACCAACATATCCGTCAGGAAGACCACCAACATATCCGTCAGCAGGAGCACCAACATATCCGTCAGCAGCACCAACATATGCGTCAGCAGGAGCTCCAACATATCCGTCAGCAGCACCAACATATCCGTCTGCAGCACCAACATATCCGCCAGCAGCACCAACATATCCGTCAGCAAGACCACCAACATATCCGTCTGTAGGAGCATCAACATATCCGTCAGCAGCACCAACATATCCGTCTGCAGCACCAACATATCCGTCGGCAGCAGCTCCAACATATCCGTCAGCAGGAACATCAACATATCCGTCAGGACGGACTCCACCGCCAGTACCTATAGCACCCCCGTCACCATCATCAGCATCTCCACCAGCACCAGCAGCACCGCCACCACCATCTCTACCTGTGCCAATAACACTAGCAGCACCACCAGCACCAGCACCAGCTCCCTCGCCAGCACCAGCAGCACCGCGAGCACCAGCACCAACAGCACGCCCAGCACCAACAGCACGCCCAGCACCAACAGCACGCCCAGCACCAGCAGCACCGCGAGCACCAGCATCAGCAGCACCAGCAGCACGCCCAGCAGCAACAGCACGCCCAGCACCAGCAGCACGCCCAGCAGCAACAGCACGCCCAGCACCAGCAGCACGCCCAGCATCAACAGCACCAGCAGCACGCCCAGCAGCAACAGCACGCCCAGCACCAGGAGCACCAGCAGCAGCACCAGCATCACGGCCAGCACCAGCAGCACCACCACCAGTAGCAGCACCACCACCAGCAGCACCAGCATCACGGCCAGCAGCAGCAGCACCACCACCAGTAGCAGCACCACCAGCAGCAGCACCAAGAGCAGCAGCACCAGCAGCAGCAGCAGCAGCACCACCACCACCAGTAGCACCACCACCAGCAGCAGCACCAGCAGCAGCAGCACCAGCAGCAGCAGCACCACCACCAGCAGCACCACCACCAGCAGCAGCACCAGCAGCAGCAGCACCACCAGCAGCAGCAGCACCACCACCAGCAGCAGCACCACCAGCACCACCACCAGCAGCAGCACCAGCAGCAGCAGCACCACCACCAGCAGCACCACCACCAGCAGCAGCACCACCAGCACCACCACAAGTAGCAGCACCACCACCAGCAGCACCACCACCAGTAGCAGCACCACCACCAGTAGCAGCACCACCACCAGCAGCAGCACCAGCAGCACCACCACCAGTAGCAGCACCACCACCAGTAGCAGCACCACCACCAGCAGCACCACCACCAGTAGCAGCACCACCACCAGTAGCAGCACCACCAGTAGCAGCACCACCACCAGCAGCACCACCACCAGTAGCAGCACCACCACCAGCAGCAGCACCAGCAGCACCACCACCAGTAGCAGCACCACCAGTAGCAGCACCACCACCAGTAGCAGCACCACCACCAGCAGCACCACCACCAGTAGCAGCACCACCACCAGTAGCAGCACCACCACCACCAGCAGCACCACCACCAGTAGCAGCACCACCACCACCAGCAGCACCACCACCAGTAGCAGCACCACCACCACCACCAGCACCACCACCAGTAGCAGCACCACCACCACCACCAGCATTAGAACCAGCAACAGCACCAGCAGCACCAGTAGCAGCAGCACCAGCAGCAGCAGCACCAGCAGCAGCAGCACCAGCAGCACCAGCAGCACTAGAACCAGCAGCAGAACTAGAACCAGCAGCACGGCTAGCACCACCAGCAGCACCAGCAGTATCACCAGCACCAGCAGCAGCAACAGCACCGCCAGCACCACCAGCACCGTCAGCACCAGCAGCAACAGCACCGCCAGCACCAGCAGCACGGCCATCACCAGCACCAGCAGCACGGCCATCACCAGCACCAGCAGCAACATCATCGCCAGCACCAACAGCAACAGCTCCGCCAGCACTAGCAGCACCGCCAACACCACCAGCACTAGCACCAGCCGCAACAGCACCGTCAGCACCAGCACCAACCTCACCGCCAGCACCAACAACACCGCCAGCACCAACTGCACCCCCAGCACCAACTGCACCGCCAGCGCCAGCAGCACTGCCAGCACCAACAACACCGCCAGCACCAACTGCACCGCCAGCACCAACAGCACCGCCAGCACCAACAACACCGCCAGCACCAACTGCACCGCCAGCGCCAGCAGCACTGCCAGCACCAACAACACCGCCAGCACCAACAACACCGCCAGCACCAACAGCACCGCCAGCACCAACAACACCGCCAGCACCAACAACACCGCCAGCACCAACAGCACCGCCAGCACCAACAACACCGCCAGTACCAACCTCACCGCCAGCACCAACAACACCACCAGCACCAACAACACCGCCAGCACCAACAGCACCGCCAGCACCAACAACACCGCCAGTACCAACCTCACCGCCAGCACCAACAACACCACCAGCACCAACAACACCGCCAGCACCAACCTCACCGCCAGCATCAACAACACCGCCAGTACCAACAACACCGCCAGCATCAACAACACCAGTATCTTCGCCAGCACCAGCAACTCTAACAGTACCACCAGCACCACCACCGCCAGCACCAGCAGCTCTAACAGTACCACCAGCACCACCACCGTCAGCACCACCATCTTGGTCTGCAGCTCTTCTACCTCGGCCAAATACAAGACGTTTATCCTGTTGTTCAAGATGTAATTCTTGGCTCTGATCTTGCTCTCCACTCCCGTTTTCTCTTATATTGTCCACATTCTCTCCTTCCTGAACTTCCTGCTCTTCTGCTCTCAGTTCTCTTCGACTCTTTCCCACTTCCCCATTCTCTTCTGCCTGTTGTTTGATTTGCTTCTTCACGCCTCTTCCTTCGTTCTCTCTCTTTCGTCGTCTCATTTGATTTTCGTGGATTTCCTGACCCTTCTTTCCTTGTTTTGGTCGTGTCTGGCCTCGGACGTTTTCTTGTTCTCCTCTTATTCCTATCTCACCTGTTTCATCTTCCTGCTCGACTTCTTCTGCCAATTGTTCCTCGTTCGTTCCTTCCTTCTCCTTTCCCTTCCGTCCTTTCCTACGGTTCTCTTTCCTCGCTCCACCTCTCCCGTCTGTCTTCCCTACACTCCTGCCTTCTCCTCCCTTTCCTTTGATTCTTCCCCTGCTCCTGGGCTGGGTGTGGCTCCGGGGTAATGCCTGTCCGTCGCTGTAGCTGTCTCCGCTGGCATCGCTCTGCCCGTCTCCTCTGGCGTTGTTCCTGTCTTTCCTCCGTATGACCGTCCTCCTCCTGGCGCTCTCCTGATCTCCGCCAGACTGAGCGTCACTGGTCCCTGCCTCCCGTCCGTCACTGGTTGCCCCATCCTGCCCGTCACTTGTTCCACCGTTCTGTCCGTCGACCGCTCGCTCGTGTCGATTGTAAATAATTTCTTCTGTTTCTCCTCTGTCCATTCCCTTGCGCTTGTCCATCTGTCCTTCGATCGGTCCGAAAATCTCGCCATTTTCTCTATCATTTTGTCCAACACTTGCATCTCTGGCCCGTCTGGAAGAGATCTGCTCTTCCAGCTGGTCATTGCTGCTCTCCTGTCCAGTCTCTCTCCCATTCCGCTGGTCACCGTCTCTTACTCCTTGCAAATGATGATCGCGTTTCGCCCCTCTCTGAGGATTTTGGCCTCTTTCTGTTCCTCTGCCTGCCCTTATGGCATCCCATCTTTCTTGTTCTTTCTGGAGCAGAGCGTCGTGCCTAGCGTCGTCCCAGCGCTCAGCCTCGTGTCTGGCGTCGCCCCAGCGCTCTGCGTCGTGTCTGGCGTCGCCCCAGCGCTCAGCGTCGTGCCTAGCGTCGTGTCTGGCGTCGCCCCAGCCCTCAGCGTTGTGCCTGGCGTCGCCCCAGCGTTCAGATCCCTCCACCCACCTCCTGGGGTCACTCCACTTCCTCCCCGCCACCTCCACACTCTCACCAGAAGCACGACCTGTCAGGAATAGGAAAAAAAGAGGTTAAAATCTCTATCCATTCCTTCCCTGATCTTCACCCCACCTTGTGACTACCTTACAGCCAGGACGGTGTTCGTCCGCTGAGTGAGCTCCCTGATCTCCGAGGAAGTAGTCACCGGCGTCGTCGCCAGCATCAACGATCAGAACTCTTCATTGACTGCTGTTGCTGTCACGTTCATCACTGTAACTGGTAGCGACCTCGCCACCATGAAGGCTATTCTCAAGACACCGGAAGAAGCTACCTTTGCGGATTTCACTGCTTTGGTATAGCTAGCACGCCTCACCAAGGAACGTTACTACTGACTTCGACAATGTTATAAGTGCTACAGCTACGACCACTTCACGAAGAAGTGCAACAACGATGTAGCAAGTGCGCCGGGGATTATCACTTCAAGAACTGTGATGATAAATATCTTCACTGCCTTCATTGCTCGAGTGAGTATACTGGCGCCTCCGCTGTGTGCCCTACCAGAATCACCGAAATCAAAAAGACGTCTGATGCTAGGGAGTCGTCTTCCGCTCTTCCCCCAACATATTTCAACATGCAAGCCGCCAATTTTCCGGAGCTTCCGGGAGGAGGACGAGCTACTGAACAGCCTGCAGGCAAATGTGTTGTGCGGTCATCACCACCACTCTCGGCCAAGCACCAAGCCAACCTTCGCAACAGATGCCTGCTCCCAACACCGTTAACAGAACTGTTTCTACACACACACGCATCTGGCTAAGAAGATGGCAGGCCCAAACTACTTGGAATTCGTCCGAATTCTCAACATACTCTACGCTGCAAATGGCCTCCCAACTTCACTGTTCCCGAAGAACTTCTCACGACTTCAGCTTCAGCCACTTCACTTCTACCACTTCAGCTTCTGACATCACCGTTTTCTCCAACTGCACTCGCAGATCTCTTGTCTGCTGACTCCCGACCTCAGCAACCAGCATCAGACCACCTGTCTACAGAATCAACTCCTTTAATCTTTGCTCCTAGAGACACTTTATCTAAGGAAGGAACATACATTTTACCCTGCAGAGGCTACAGTTCTTTTAGCTCCAAACGACGATCCTGATGAACCTGTGTTGTGCTACATGGAAGATGCCTGCAACGTGCAAGCTGCTACCCATACTGAGAAACGTTCCCGCACTCTGGAACAAGAATATGAGGAAGTTGACCAGACCACACACTAGAAGGTGAAGGGACGACGACGTTTCGGTTCGTCCTGGACCATGCTCAAGTCATCCTGGACCATTCCCAAGTCGTCCTGGACCATTCTCAAATTGAATGCATCGACTTGTGAATGGTCCAGGACGTACCGAACGTCGTCGTCCCTTCACCTTCTAGTGTGTGGTCTGGTCAACATACTTTAGCCACGTTATTGTGACTCCTCGCCTGAATGTGAGGAAGATCTAAAGAAGAGCAAGAAGGAAAAATGGTACAATGACCACTATACATTGGGTCACAGACTGTCGTGACCCTACTCCACCCAGACCTTATTGACCCCAAATACTATGTTGAGTATCCGAAACACGCCGCCAAGTTGCTGGAAAAAATCAAGACACTCACAAAAACGGAGCAGGCGACCCAACTAAGCCAGCCCGTACCTGCACCTACCATGCCTTACTGAACCCTGCGCTAGCTCACAGCCCTTCAGACTTATCGTCGGATGAGGACGTCTCTGTGGGAATACCGCCTCTTACATCGAAACCTAATTACCGTTAACAGAACTGTTTCTACACACACACGCATCTGGCTAAGAAGATGGCAGGCCCAAACTACTTGGAATTCGTCCGAATTCTCAACATACTCTACGCTGCAAATGGCCTCCCAACTTCACTGTTCCCGAAGAACTTCTCACGACTTCAGCTTCAGCCACTTCACTTCTACCACTTCAGCTTCTGACATCACCGTTTCTCCAACTGCACTCGCAGATCTCTTGTCTGCTGACTCCCGACCTCAGCAACCAGCATCAGACCACCTGTCTACAGAATCAACTCCTTTAATCTTTGCTCCTAGAGACACTTTATCTAAGGAAGGAACATACATTTTACCCTGCAGAGGCTACAGTTCTTTTAGCTCCAAACGACGATCCTGATGAACCTGTGTTGTGCTACATGGAAGATGCCTGCAACGTGCAAGCTGCTACCCATACTGAGAAACGTTCCCGCACTCTGGAACAAGAATATGAGGAAGTTGACCAGACCACACACTAGAAGGTGAAGGGACGACGACGTTTCGGTTCGTCCTGGACCATGCTCAAGTCATCCTGGACCATTCCCAAGTCGTCCTGGACCATTCTCAAATTGAATGCATCGACTTGTGAATGGTCCAGGACGTACCGAACGTCGTCGTCCCTTCACCTTCTAGTGTGTGGTCTGGTCAACATACTTTAGCCACGTTATTGTGACTCCTCGCCTGAATGTGAGGAAGATCTAAAGAAGAGCAAGAAGGAAAAATGGTACAATGACCACTATACATTGGGTCACAGACTGTCGTGACCCTACTCCACCCAGACCTTATTGACCCCAAATACTATGTTGAGTATCCGAAACACGCCGCCAAGTTGCTGGAAAAAATCAAGACACTCACAAAAACGGAGCAGGCGACCCAACTAAGCCAGCCCGTACCTGCACCTACCATGCCTTACTGAACCCTGCGCTAGCTCACAGCCCTTCAGACTTATCGTCGGATGAGGACGTCTCTGTGGGAATACCGCCTCTTACATCGAAACCTAATTACAGCCCTAAGGACTTCCTTCTTGACATCACACATTCCAACCCAACTGACATTGCTATATCAACGAGAAGACCGCAAAAGAAAAAGATGAAGAAGACCAAGAAGAAGAACAAGGCACCAAGACAGAAAGAAGTGACACCATCAACTGATTGACTGATGAAGATTAAGCAACCCAAGAGGTGGCACGGGCATGAATAGCCCGTATATAACCATCGACCACCACCAACTAACTGGTATACACACCTCTCCACCTCACCTCAAGCCCTGTGACTGCTTGGAGCTGTTGTGTCATTGTATAAATACTTTTGGCTTCCAATGACTTTTAACAGTCTAGTAGCTATTTGGTCAGAGTATTTGGACTGCCCCTGTCAGTCATAGGTTTGAATCTATGAGTTCTAATTTCTACCTCTACGAGAGGAGTTCTTTCTAATACAATCGCTTTGCGTGTTCATGCAAGTTTGTGGTTATATATATATATATATATATATATATATATATATATATATATATATATATATTCTACCCATATCACGTCTATATATGCAAGTACTGCAGCCACAAGAACAGTAACTGCTTCCAGACGTCTAGACAGTACCTCCCGTCTCCCCATACACCACTGCCCGTCACCCCACCTCGCACCTGGGTCGCTGGCAGCTCACGCCATCCGAAACAAGCAGTTTACGAGAGCCGGTTAATAGCTAAAGAAGGAACCAGCGCCATCTGGACGGCCGTTGCCGTGTTTAAATAAGGCTACCTAACCCACTACAGTTCAGATTACTCCTGAGTGCTCTGGTGAGTAGACCTGTTGACATATCCCGGTATGGTAACGGAACTATTCAGTTTGACTCGCAATATTCCCGCACCATATTTTATTTGCACATTAACGTAACGTAAATTTGTTTGTTTTACACACTTTGTATTAGAGCCAAGCCTGGATATTTTGTTTTGTAATTTGTTTAATTTCACTTTTCTATCAAAGTATTTTTAATTTTTTTTTCTCTCTGCTTTATCCTACAGTTTACCTCACTGTGAAGACCACTTGTTGTTTAACTTTTTGTTTCTTTTGTTGTTTTTATGTGACTGGTATTCCATCTGCCTAGACCACCTATGCGAACAAGCCTGAATGGTCCCCAGGACTATATGCAACTGAAAACTCACACCCCAGAAGTGACTCGAACCCACCGGTCGTGATGGTCAAGCGGATTAAGGCGTCCTGTATATACCAGTTGCGTTGCTCCTGGCAGTATGGGTTCGAGTCACTTCTGGGGTGTGAGTTTTCAGTTTATATATATATATATATATATATATATATATATATATATATATATATATATATATATATATATATATATATATATATATATATATATATATATATATTAATGATTCCTTCGTTAATTATCGGTGTACCAGTAGCATTATATAAATTAGTTTTCAAAATTATTATTATAAAATTATCCGTAAATAATTAACTCGCCAGAAATTGCAGCAAAAATAATTACTTATTACGGCAGGTATAACTCGATGGTATTACCAGGCTGGCTAATGTTTTGGCTTGAGGTGAAAGGTTTTCTTGTCCTGCAAAGTTGTACACACGCTGGGGAGAAAGAGACAAGGGAAAGAGAGACGCGGGGGAGTAACCCCAACTTAACCTACAACCATGAAGCGACTGACACCCACATTACATCTAGCCACATAGCTCGAGCCTCCCGTATCCAATCTCCCTTCACCAGCTAATATTCAAGTGGTGTGGCCGGTCCTGCCTCTAGTATATATCTTGATTACATGATTGTTGTAATCTCATGTAATATACGGTGCCTGAATCTCTGTAATTGTGTTTTCAGCTGTAATAGGACCTTGGAACACAGGCTTTGACGGAATTGGGTCATTACAAGTTACGTGGAGAGTTGAACTTGTGCTTGTTGATTCAACAAGTGAATGATTTTTAAGTGTTTTGAGAGAGGGAAGGACTTATCAGGGGAAGGCGCCAAGCCATTTCGACTATATAGCACTGGGAAGGGGTCAGGATAAAGATTTGGGATGGGACGGGGGGGAAAAGGAATGGTGCCCAACCACTTGTGGACGGTCCGGGGATTGAACGCCGATCCGAATGACGCGAGACTGTCGCTCTACCCTCCACCCGAAGTGGTTGGGCACCATTTGAGGAAGGGGGGGGGGATGCCCAACATTGGACCCTATTCACTGGTTACAGAGTCCATGTAGGCTCTACAAAAGTATGAATAACTAAGTCACATTTGTATTCATATAGAGCTAAGGTGACGAGATGATTCCAGACGGATGAGTTATGTGGGGCGGAGTCCCTGATGACTCTCTAACTCACTGATGAATCATATCCCCGGAGCCTATAGTGACAATATACATGATGAATCATATTCCCAGAGCCTATAGTAGTAGGCATTCTGCAGTCCTCGGAGACTATGGAGTTGAGCTCTGGTTGTCGGTCTGGAGTGGCCTCTCCAGGGCACAAAGCCAGGGTAGGTTGATACAGGGGAGAAGCTGTTACCCATGCAGCAAGGTCCCCGAACCTATAGTGACAATATAATTCAGGATCCAGACAGTCCTCTCCGATTATTTGTGTCATAATTTGTTAAATTATACACTAGTAATTCTATTTATTCTACGAATTATATAGATGTGGTTTTTATATTTCAGTAATATTCTATATTATAGGAACCAAAACTAACAGACGAAGCAGAGCCAAGAAAGATATAATACATAGAAATAATATGAAAACGTGGCTAAAAATTGTGGTAGGGGACTGTCCTTGACGGGTCGGGGTCGGCCCCATTACCCTCATTCAGAACATTCGGCTCCTGTCGTGACCCCCAGCTACTCCTATGGAGTCTGAAACAATGTTTTTCCCCAGAGGCTTTTCTCAAACATTTTCAGCTGTTTATAATATTTTGTTGAGAGAGAGAGAGAGAGAGAGAGAGAGAGAGAGAGAGAGAGAGAGAGAGAGAGAGAGAGAGAGAGAGAGAGAGAGAGAGAGAGAGAGAGAGAGAGAGAGAGAGAGAGACTTAAAAATCAGTTCCACATTAGCAAATTTCTACGAATCTGATACTCTATTCGCCTCTAATTATTTAATAACAACGGAAGAATAGGCTTGACACAGCCACACACCTGACTCCATCACCCTGAGATCAAAGATAAACACGTAACTGTACATATGACTCTACTCACCTCGTTCCCCTTCGTCGCCTTCGACAGTCCGCTGAAACCCTTCTTCCCACAGCAGGAAGTTCTCGCGTCTCCTGATAGCATCGTAGTGATTGAGTCTAGAAGCTGCATGAGAGTCAGAGAGTTCGTTGTCGGAGGCCAGGAGGTTGGAGAGGCTAGGGGCGTATCTCAGTAGATCTTGACTTAACTCCAACACGTGGATCTCTGGTTCGTCAGCGTGCGGCGGCAGGAAGCTCTTCACTTTCACTACCTGCTCCTGACGGGGCTTCACCTGTGTGTGTGTGGGGGGTGATATGTTAATGTCCGACCTTCTCTCGCATCAGAGGTCCGCGGTTGTTCAACGTCCTACCAGCGAGCGTCAGAAATATTGCTGGAACAACCGTGGACATGTTCTGGAAACTAGATTGTTTCCTTCAAGGAGTGCTGGACCAACCGGGCTGTGGTGGCTTTAGTGTCCCCGCGGCCCGGTCGTCGACCAGGCCTCCACCCCCAGGAAGCAGCCCGTGACAGCTGACTAACACCCAGGTACCTATTTTACTGCTAAGTAACAGGGGCATAGTGTGAAAGAAACTCTGCCCATTGTTTCTCGCCGGCGCCTGGGATCGAACCCGGGACCACAGGATCACAAGTCCAGCGTGCTGTCCACTCGGCCGACCGGCTCCCCTATCTATCACAACCACAGTTACTTTCGCTTGAAACTGTTTTGACTTCATATTACACTATCCAGCTACTTGGGCTGGACGGTAAAGCGACTGGCTTCATGCAGGTCGGCGTTCAATCCCCTACGGTCCACAAGTGATTGGACACCATTCCTTTCCCCCCGTCCCATCCCATATCCTGACCCCTTCCCCAGTGCTATATAGTCGTAATGGCTTGGCGCTTTCCTCCTGATAGTTCAACTCCCCTTCCTATCACACTAAGCTGTCTACTAACTCCACTAATGGACGAGTGACACAATTTGAAAAATGACGAAAATCTCACACAAACAGTCACTGACTCGGCCACATATTTCAAGACTGTTAAGGAATCTTAACTACAGCTTTCAAGACTGTTAAGGAATCTTAACTAAAGGTTTCAGGACTGTTAAGGAATCTTAACTACAGCTTTCAAGACTGTTAAGGAATCTTAACTAAAGGTTTCAGGACTGTTAAGGAATCTTAACTAAAGGTTTCAGGACTGTTAAGGAATCTTAACTAAAGGTTTCAGGACTGATAAGGTATCTTAACTACAGGTTTCAGAACTGTTAAGGTATATTAACTACGGTCCATGAACCTATTTTGGTGATCTACGTTCTCTCGGTACACAGTATTGATCATGTGATCACGACTGTCAGTGTCCCAACCCGTCCTCGACTCAAGTCCATTCCAACCAGCGGTCGACCCCACAAACACATTCATACATTTTTACATGCTGTTCATTTAAAACAAGAAATTTCTTAAATATAAGTTAATATTATAATATATTAGCATATTGTGCATATATAGGCATAGGTTAGGTTAGGTGTTTAGGTTCTGTTGGCGATTATTTGTATTTGTAGTACGTGGGTGAAGCATTTACAGCGTTGTGGTTCGAACACAAGTCGTCAGTGAAGCACTTGTTCCGGATATGTTCGAACGTCAGCAGTTGTGAGTCGTGTGTAAACCGCTTTTCATTCATAAACAGCTGAGGGTTTGGCGGGTGGATGGAATCACTTTTGGATCTTTGTTTGGAGGACGGGCTGTTTACAGCGTTGTGGTTCGAACACAAGTCGTCAGTGAAGCACTTGTTCCGGAAGTGTTCGAATGAAATGAACAGTAAGTCGTGCAGGCCGTCCTCCAAACAAAGATCCAAAAGTCCATTCCATCCACCCGCCAAACCCTCAGCTGTTTATGAATGAAAAGCGGTTTACACACGACTCACAACTGCTGACGTTCGAACATATCCGGAACAAGTGCTTCACTGACGACTTTTGTTCGAAAAACAACGCTGTAAATGCTTCACCCACGTACTACAAATACAAATAATCACCAACAGAACCTAAACACCTAACCTAACCTATGCCTATATATGCACAATATGCCAATATATTATAATATTAACTTATATTAGAGAAAATTCCCGTTTTGAAGGAACAGCATGTAAAAATTTATGAATGCGTCTGTGGGGTCGACCGCTGGATGGAATGGACTTGAGTCGAGGACGGGTTAATTCCCCCTGCAAGATCAGGGACCAGATTCACGAAGCAGTTACGCAAGCACTTACGAACCTGGGGCCAGATTCACGAAGCTGTTACGCAAGCACTTACGAACCTGGGGCCAGATTCACGAAGCAGTTACGCAAGCACTTACGAACCTTTACATCTTTTCTCAATCTTTGGCGGCTTTGTTTACAATTATTAACCACCTTCTCCCCTCCTTTCCTTCTCCCTCTCCCCTCCTTCCTTCATCCCTCCCCTTGGCCGTCATTCGTCTCCTCCTCTTCCCCCCCCCCTGTCGCCCATTTGTCAGGGTCAAGAGGTTGACCTGAGGGTAGGGTGGTCGTGGATACCTTGGCTTCTCCCACTCAACTTCCCCACTCAGATATTTCCCTCTCCACCCCCTCTCTTCCCCTCTCACCGGCCTCTTCCCCATACCAGGCAGAGTCAAATGTCCCTACCCTTGATCTTAGAGGAGACAGGCTTGAACATAAATTATCAGTTTTGTAAACATTGCTCGCAGGTGTACTGGGGCCCCATAGAGGCGCCTTGTCCCCCTTCTCTTAGCTGGGGAGAGCTGACTCAATCTTCAGGAATTCATGTAGCTTTCCACGGCAGATCAGTGAAGGTGATTGGCCTGAGATAAGGGCCAAGTCCTTATAGGCCCTAGAGAGCCAGACCTCAGGCCTACGTGTTAAATGGTTGGCCATTGCCAAAATAATGGGTGGAGCCCTGGGGCTGTATTAGATGGTGGGAGGAGTAATCCTTCCCAGCAATAAGTTGGAAAAGCTAAATTTCATCAGTGTGTCTTGGGAGTGTATTAGGAACAGGGCCGCAAGCCCGTATCCTCGGGGCTGAGGGCAGCCATCAACATCGTGGCCGTAGTGCGGGTATTTAAGGTATAGTACGTAGTACTTGAGTTTCGTGTCCTCGGTAAATATCCATTGTGCCTCTAGGGGAAATAGAATAGGTGATGTGTTCAAATTGTCTTAATTTACATGGTTCATAAAATAAATTGTATAGCTTGTCCAGTGGTATTCACTTAACTCCCCTTTGATATATTTTGCTACTTTGGCATTTTTAGGTGTTGTATTGGAAGCCCACGTTGTAATGACCGCTTTACCCTGTCGTAATAACCGCGGCCTCTATTGTAATAACCCAATGTTCCCCAGTATTAATCCTGTTATCTTGTGATCTCTCATAATCGTACTATACGCTCTCTGTTGTAATTCTCTGTCTCTCTTCACTCAATACCCCAGCTCAACACTGTTACAGTCCAGCATGACCCCTCACTGGACTGCCCCGTATATAAGAGGAATATTAAATGAGGAAGCTACACCAAGGACAAGGGTTATTCGCTTATTACTAATTATAAAATAAAAACCATTAAAGCACTGCCACCACCTTCCCGACCAACCATACCTGAATGTGTCTATCACCGATCCCCCCAGGAAGGCAAGGAATCAGTAACCATGGGACTCCTGGTAATATGAATTTCAGTAATAAATTTTGGAAAATTAGTTTGTGTAATTTACGTTACTAATTTAAATCCAAGGGCAACTTTAGTATCGATTAATTGTTAGGAGAACCTGGGGGCTTCCAATACAACACCTAAAAATGACAAAGTAGCAAAATATATCAAAGGGGAGTTAAGTGAATACCACGGGACAAGCTATACAATTTATTTTATGAACCATGTAAATTAAGACAATTTGAACACATCACCTATTCTATTTCCCCTAGAGGCACAATGGATATTTACCGAGGACACAAAACTCAAGTGCTACTATACCTTAAATACCCGCACTACGGCCACGATGTTGATGGCTGCCCTCAGCCCCGAGGATACGGGCTTGCGGCCCTGTTCCTAATACACTCCCAAGACACACTGATGAAATTTAGCTTTTCCAACTTATTGCTGGGAAGGATTACTCCTCCCACCATCTAATACAGCCCCAGGGCTCCACCCATTATTTTGGCAATGGCCAACCATTTAACACGTAGGCCTGAGGTCTGGCTCTCTAGGGCCAATAAGGACTTGGCCCTTATCTCAGGCCAATCACCTTCACTGATCTGCCGTGGAAAGCTACATGAATTCCTGAAGATTGAGTCAGCTCTCCCCAGCTAAGAGAAGGGGGACAAGGCGCCTCTATGGGGCCCCAGTACACCTGCGAGCAATGTTTACAAAACTGATAATTTATGTTCAAGCCTGTCTCCTCTAAGATCAAGGGTAGGGACATTTGACTCTGCCTGGTATGGGGAAGAGGCCGGTGAGAGGGGAAGAGAGGGGGTGGAGAGGGAAATATCTGAGTGGGGAAGTTGAGTGGGAGAAGCCAAGGTATCCACGACCACCCTACCCTCAGGTCAACCTCTTGACCCTGACAAATGGGCGACAGGGGGTGGGGGGAAGAGGAGGAGACGAATGACGGCCAAGGGGAGGGGAGAAGGAAGGAGGGGAGAGGGAGAAGGAAAGGAGGGGAGAAGGAGAGGGAAAAGAGGGGAGAAGGGAGAACCAATGATCTGAGCCCCAGATCATTACAAACAGTTAATGAGCTCCGAAACACCAGGAGGCTGTTTATAACAATAACAACAGTTGATTGGCAAGTTTTCATGCTTGTAAACTGTTTAATAAATGTAACCAAAGCCGTCAAAGATTGAGGAAAGATGTACACGTTCGTAAGTGCTTGCGTAACTGCTTCGTGAATCTGGCCCCAGGTTCGTAAGTGCTTGCGTAACTGCTGCATGAATCTGGCCCCAGGTTCGTAAGTGCTTGCGTAACTGCTTCGTGAATCTGGCCCCAGGTTCGTAAGTGCTTGCGTAACTGCTGCATGAATCTGGCCCCAGGTTCGTAAGTGCTTGCGTAACTGCTTCGTGAATCTGGCCCCAGGTTCGTAAGTGCTTGCGTAACTGCTTCGTGAATCTGGCCCCAGGTTCGTAAGTGCTTGCGTAACTGCTTCATGAATCTGGGCCCAGGTAAGCCATGACCTTTCCAAACTGCAGGGGGCGTGTAAGTTTAAGATTTATTTAGCATATATTATACATTTATATTTACATATATTTACATATATTTACATATATTTAGCATATATTTTGTGTAA